GATGGCCTGAGGTTTCCAGGTCCACGCTCGTACCAGACACCCGTGTGCCCAGGCCCAGGGCTGAGCAGAGCAGGGTTTTGTCTCGGCAGCCTCCTGCAGCTGCCAGTTCCCCTGGTCACGTAAAGAGCACAGAGAGGCTGTGCTCTGGTCTTGCTTGGCTGATCCTGGTGGTTTTAATCACGTTAACTGGTTGACTCCTTCAATCTTTGTAATTTTTTTTGTGATTCAGTAGTTTCGGGAGACTGAGGAGCTGTGGTATCCCACAGGTCTGTGCCATCTTTCCTTGTGAGAAAACGCTATCGTGGCTCTCTCTGAGCAAAGCAATCAGCCAGGAATTCCTCACCTCACTAATTCCCTTACCAACCCAGCCCCAGAGTTGAAAGGGGGCCAGCATTTCCCTTTGGCTGTGCTCACCCACACCCAGGCCTCTCTCATATCCAGCAGCGCCCACCGCACCCCAGAAAATAGGGTTCAGAGTCCCAGAAGGGAGGCTCTGTTGGCCTCACCACCCTTTCACCACCCAAAGAAGATCACGCTCAGGAACCTCAGATTTTTATCTTTTTTTTATTATTATTATTCAAAAAAGAGCAGAGCCACCAGAGTTCTCAGACTTCTGTCGCACTGAGGAATCCTGCTCCAAGGGAAGCAGGAACACTGGGTACTGCCTGTCCACAAACAGGTTGCACCAGGAATCAATTAACTGCTGGTGATTTAGGCTGTGCTGGAACAGCACGTTAAAGTTACGGAGTCATTCCCAACCAGGTCTGTCAGCTAGTGGCTGTTCGCCAGGTCCAAATTTCACTATTCTGGGCTGTTGCAAGAAAGTGCAAAGGTGACCAGCTGACAACGTAACCAAAGGAGACAGACCAAAACAACGCGGAGGTGTCAGCCACGCTCAGACCTCCCCACCAGGGTCAGCTCCTCCCTGGAGCCCAGGCCTGTGCCTGGCTGTATCCGTCAGGTCTCCAGCTCTCCGGCTGGCAGCTTCACTTCACTGTAGGTTTTCTTCTTCACGTGGCTTGTCTGGTCCAGGAGCCATCGTTTCTCTTCATCGCTGACGTCCAGCCTCAGCGTCACCTCCCGGAAAACGCTGTTCACAGCAACCTGGAGCACGCAGAATAAAAAAAGCTGAGCCCCAGTCATAACACAAGTGCTGCTCGTGTTCTCTGGGCAGACGTTGGGCAGTTACCACACCTCCTTAAAATGAAGCTTCTTGAACATGCAAATGCTGGCTTCGTTTTCCTGACCGATCTTAGCCTCAAATTTGGTGATGCCCAGGTCTGTCACTCCTACAAAAGAAACCAGAAAGACAAGCATTCCTGTTACCTGCTGGGCTGCCACATCTACAAAGACACAGGACTCCAATTTCTGAGGCGGGTGCACCTCTTACTACCCTCTACCTCAGCAGGAATATGTGCTTCTAGATCACATCACAGCTCTGCTCCCATCCCCGTGCCCTGGGCTATCCTTACCGTAGGACATCATCATCAGAGTCGCCTCCTTGCCAAATCCTCTGCCACGGTAGCTGGGCTCTGAAAGGGAGAGCCACAGAAATCAGCACCCTGTTAGGCGAGACAAGTCAGCAGGGGCACTTTTCAGTGCTGGGTACTTTTCAGAAGAGGCTGTGTCCCAGGCCAGCAACGGATGCTGATCAGATCTGAACAGCCAAGGTAAAGCAATGACAATAAAAATCTGCCCTCAGTAACATCTGTCTGGCTTTAGCCAAGGTGGCAAAGGCCCAAGCTAGCAAGCAGAACCTCACCTGCGATCATAATTTCAATCTCCCCCAAAGTCGGATCCTCGGTGTCGGTGAGGAAGAGGTTCACATCCCCCACCATGCAGTCCTCCTCCCCACGTGCCTGCCCAGACCAGCGCTCCGTGTCCAGCACGATGAAGGTGCACTCTGTGGAGAACAGACAAGAAGCAACATTCTCACGGCACGAATTATTCACAAAGTACCGAAGGATGAAATCAAAGGCATGCAACGGGCAAAGGAACAGCAGTTTCCACATGTTAGCAGTGAGGAAGAGGTAATAATTGCACCTCCCACGCCAAGCATGCCTGCTCCCGTCCCTAGAAACATACGAAATGCTCTGAAAAACCCGTGGTGAGCACAAAGGATCGTGCAGACACTGAGACTAGGAACAGCCTGTGTAAAAAGGAGCGTGAAAACTTTCATTCCCCGACCGAGGTCTCACTGCTTTGTCTCTGCAGCAAGTTCGGGCGAGGAATTGTTTGGTGCACAAGGATCACCCAGTGATTCACCCGGTCCGCTTTACTGCTGCTCTCAACAAAGCTTTTAATGCCAGCTAAGATCTCCAGACTGAGATCTTTGCCAGCCTCGGCATTTTGCAGCTCCCTGTATTTCTATGAGGCTTTTATGAGCACTGATTCATTACCTGTAATAGAGCCAGGGAACAAATTCAGTCAACTAATCTCGACCAGGTAATTATAAAGTAATTCGAATCCTAAGGAAAAATACAACTCCCTTCCACCTTTTGACGATGATCAGTCCTGGGGAGTGGTGATGGTGCTGGAGAAGCCCAGCAGATAATGCTGTGCGAATTAAATCATCCTTACCTTTGAAAAACTGCACGAAAAGGACACCAACAGCCCTGGGTGTTCTCTACTTCCCAGGAACTTCCCAGCTACAGTTTTTACTGAGCATGTATCAGCTACAAACACGCACGGATCTCCCTAGAAAGTTACCGTGTCCATATTCCCCTTGCTTCAAACTATCGCTGTTCATCTGCCTCCAAATAGTGGAGACGAAGAACCCCAGAGCCCCAGGAAGTACAGAAACCAGACAGATGTTAGCTGCGCTGGGGAAGGCAACGTGCTGTGGTGCTCAGGCAAAGCTGGTGGAACTGAAACCAGCCTCACACCCCCTCAGGCTCAGTAAAGCCCACTCACACGTGCCCTCAGCCCACCCTGTGTCCTTTATGGGACGGAGAGGGACCCGCTGCCCCCTGCCACCCACCCCTAGCAGGTGTTTAAGACCCTCACTGTCTGCGTCTTCCCTCCAGCTGCGCTGCATCTCGTACTCCTGCTCCAGGCTCAGTGGTTCGGAGGCGGTCAGGCGCTGCAGCTCCTCTGACTGCATCCACGCGTGGTACCTGGCAAAGAGAGCGGGGCAGACCCCTGGCTTAGCAGCAGCACCGCAGGACGGTGGCCACGAGTGCTCCAAGGACCTGCCTGTGCCCTGTCATGTCTGAAATATTAGCCTGGCGTTCACAGCAACTCGGAAGTATCTGCAAGCCTCTTGCTGGATGTGAAACAGGAACCAGCGATCTCCTTGGACATGTAGCAAAGTTTGTGCATCCTGCGGCTTTGTGTGAAGTGCCACGACACGAGCTGGAAGTTTTTAAGAGTTCTGACCCAGCAGCACCAAGGGTCAGGATTTCAGCCCGTCTGCTTTCGATACAGCCTCACCGTGCCACTGACAGCTTGACAAACACTGCCACCTTTGTGCAGAGCCGGCAGCTGCCCGGGGCAGCGCTTTACAAAGCGCATTGATCAGAGGTTTGGCTGCCTGGGGTCACACACGCTGCAGTCCTGCTCCTCTCTGGCCTTTACAGAGAGATCCCAAGGGATGTCAGAAGTGCTGGTTGTTCTCCCACAGCCAGGTATTTCCCTCCCTGTGAATCCACAGTCCTGGCACAAAGCACAGACCCCAGGGATGACTGCTGGGAGCAGGGTGGGCACAACTCGCTGCCTTCCTACAGCTTTTTTTTAATTTCTGTGCTGTTCCCATGGGGAAGAGGCCCCTGCAGCTGCCGAGCCAGCACCTTTCTGAACAACACGCTAAAAAAGGGAAGGGAAACCAGACCGGAGGACGCGAGCCACGTACCGGGGCACGTGTGCCGGGGTGTACGGCACCAGGGTCGCCCTGCTCCCCTGCAGCACGGTGTCCTGGTTAATCCTCATGGCCCCAAGACACGGCCCTGTGCCCGCCGCGCAGCCCAGGGGGGGCACAGAGCTCGCAGCCCCCTGCAAGGCAGCAGTGGCAGCCCCAGCTCTGCACGGGGCTCAGAGCGATGCCCGGGGCTGGGATCTGGGGCGAGGTGGAGATTTGGGGCTGGGACCGGGGGATCTGAGGCTGGGATTGGGGGCTATGGGGGGGGATCTGGGGCTGGGACTGGGATCTGGGGATGGGATTTGGGGATGGGATCTGGGGCTGTAGGGGGATCTGGAGCTTTGGGGGGATCTGGGGCGGTGATCTGGGGCTATGGGGAGATTTGGGGCTGGGATCTGGGGCTATGGGGGGATCTGGGGCTGGGATCTGGGGATGGGATCCAGGGCTGTAGGGGGATCTGGGGCTGGGATCTGGAGCTTTGGGGGAATCTGGGGCTGGGATTGGGGGTTGTGGGGGGATCTGGGGTTGGGATCTGAAGCTATGGGGGGATTTGGGGCTGGAAGTGGGGGCTGTAGGGGGATCTGGGGCTGGGATCTGGGGCTTTGGGGGGACCTGGGGCTGGGATTGGGGGTTGTGGGGGGATCTGGGGCTGGGATCTGGAGCTATGGGGGGATCCAGGGCTGGGATCTAGGGCTGTGGGGGGATCTGGGTTTGGGATCCAGGGCTGTGGGGTACTTTGGGTTTGGGATCCGGAGCTTTGGGGGGATCCGGGGATAGGATCGGGGGCTGGGGGGGGATTTGGGGCTGGGATCTGGGGCTGTGGGGGGGATCCGGGGCTGGGATCTGGGGCTGGGTTTGGGATCTGGGTTTGGGATCCGGGCTGTGGGGGGCTCCCTGTTTGGGCCCCCCCCGCCCCTACCTGCGCCGCCTCCCTCTGCGCATGCGCACAGCTCCTCACTCTCCTCCCCCCTCCCACCCGGCGTGGCGCTGTGGCCCCGCCCCCTCCCTCCCACGTGACCCCCCTCCCCTCCAATCCGCGGGCGGAGGAGCGGGGCCCGGTCACGTGCGCGGAAGCCTTTCCCCCCTCCCCGCCGCCGCTCCACGCCCCCCGCTCCCCGCCCCGCGCATGCGCAGTGAGGGGCCCGGGGGGCGGCCCCGGGGCAGGGCCGGGAGGAGGGGGCGGGCGGAGGGGAGGCGCCCGCGGCCGGTAAGGGGCAGGGGGGCCTGGGGGCTGCGGTACGGCGGGTCTGGGGGCCCGGGGAGGGCTTGGGGGTCCTGGGGAGGGTTTCGGGGGTCCCGGGAAGGGTTTGGGGGTCTCGGGGGGTCTCTGTGGGGGGACACGAGGGGTCCCGGGGGGGGTTTGGGGTCCCTGTGTGGGGCCCCGGTGGGGTCTGTGGGGGGCCTGGGGTCCTGTGGGGGGTCCCTGTGGGGTCCCTGTGGGGTTTGGAGTCTCGGTGTGGGGTCTCTGGGGGGTTTAGGGTCCCTGTATGGGGTCCCCGGGGGTCCCTGGGGGTCCCTGTATGGTCTGAGGTTCCAGACTGGGGCCCACGGGGGTCCCCATGGGGTCTGGGGTGCTGTGTGGGGTCCTTGTGGGGTCTGAGGTCCCTGTGTGAGAGTCCTGGGGGTTCCTGGAGGGTCTGGGGTCCCAGTATGGGGCCACTGGGGGTATTGGGGGGGGGTCTGAGGTTGCTGTGTGGGGCCCTTGAGGGGCTTGGGGTCCCTGTGGGGGGCCCCGGTGGGGTTTGGGGGGGCCTGGGGGCTTTGGAGTCACGGTGTGGGGTCTCTGTAGGGTCTAGGGTCTCCGGGAGTCTCTGGGGGGTCTGGGGTCCCTGTATGGTCTGAGGTCCCAGTATAGGGCTGCTGTGAGTCCCCGGGAGGTCTGGGGTGCCTGTATGAGGGTTCTGGGGGTTCCTGGAGGGTCTGGGGTCCCAGTATGGGGCCACCGGGGGACCTGTGGGGTCTGGGTTTCCTGTGGGGGGTCCCAGGGGGAGTATGGGGTCCCTGTGTGGGGCCCTGGTGGGATCTCTGGGGAGTCTGGGGTCTCGGGTCCCTGTGTTATGCCACCAGGGGTCCCTGGGTTGTCTAGTGTCCCTGTATGGGGTCCCCGGGGGTCCCTGTGGGGTCTGGGAACCATGTGCAGGGTTCCTGTGTGGGGCCCCTGTGGGGCCTGGGGTCTCTGTATGGGACCACTGGGGATCCCTGTGGGGTCTGGGGTTCCTGTGTGGGGCCACTGGGGGTCTGTGGGGAGGGGGCTTGGGGTCCCTGTGTGGGACCCCTGGGGGAGTTGGGGTCCCTGTGTGGGACTATTGGGGTCTCTATGGGGTCTGGGGGCCGGTGGCATTCCCAGGTCCCCCCTCGGTGCGTGTCGCTGCCTCGCTCCCGGGGCTCTGCCGGGCGGTGCAGGCTCCCCAAACACTCGGGCATTAAAAGCCCTGGTGCAGGGTGCAGGTAGCTCGGTGCCTCGTGTCTGTGGGGCTGCTGCCGGCCGCCTGCTGTTTTTTTTTCTGTCCCTGGGGTCGTTTGGGGAGGCCGGGGGCTGCCCGAGCCTGCCCCACGCAGCCCTGTGGCCCTGAGGGGGAGAGGCGAGGTATGAGAGCGTCCCGGGGGCAGGCAGGCTTCCTCCTGCGGTCTGAAACCTCCCTCTGGCCGCTCGGGACATCGCGTGCTGGGGCAGGGCAGGGCCCTGGGGTGTTCCTTTTAACTGGTTTTAACGGGGCAGGGAAATCCTCGTGGTGCTGGGCCGGCTGCGGCTGTCCTGTGTTGAAAGACAAGAGTGTCGAAATTACCTCGTGAGTTCCCCTCCTTCTGGCAAAGGTGACCCAACTTTGTGCTTTGTGTTTTATTTTCCCCCTAGGTAAAAGGCAACAGAAGCTGAGAACGCCCTCCTCGAGCTGCTCCCCTCGCCATGGCCGGCGGCATTACGGACACGGGGGAGCTCTACTCGCCTTACGTAAGTCCTTCGGGCCCAGCGCCTGGCTCTGTACTCAGAAGTCTTCTCAAAATCCTCTTCTTTCAGCTTGTGTTGTCATTTCCCACTTCCCCGTGCACGTAACCGCAGTGTTTCAAGAGTTGCCGTAGGTCAAAGGCTGCTTCAAAACGCTTCGTGCTGGTAGCTCTTTCTTTTTACATCGCACGTTCCTTCATGTGCTGGAAAGGATGGCGTCTGCTTAAGGTAGAGTTCCTTAAAATGTGCTAAGAAAAGCTTCGTGTCCGACACCAGCTCTTACATCCTTCTACCTGTTGCTCTTAAACTTCAGCGTTTTCAACAGCACAAATTGTCATGTGAAGCTCACTTAAACAGGGAAAATTGCCATGTGGAAATTGGGCTTTTTTTTTTTCTTTTAAGAAATTCAGAGGAAAATCATATGTAAAAGAAAAGCTACGAATAAGTCATCTTCAGTTACTTATTTTAACCTTTAACCTTTATTTTAACCTGGTTTTGATAGTCACAAGTGTACATAAAGCGTCAGCTCTTAGATCAGTGCTTTGCAAACAATATTCCCCCAAAACCCCGCAGATGACTAAAAGACCCAGAACTGAATTCTACGGGTCAGCTTTCAGATGTTCAGAAACTTTCATCCCCCTGTTAATGATTGAATTTAGACTCACTGGATCTCAGACCCCAGAAATGGGCCACGACTGAGAAAATAGAGAATAAGTCGGTAACTGGGGGGTTCTGGGCCCTACAGAATTAGTGTCACATTTCTGTTGGTGTGGCAGGAATATCCTAGAGTCTCATCTCAAAGTCTAGAGCGCTCTCTCCTCTTTGCCTGAAGACGTCCAGCCAGGCTGAATGCACGAGCACCGTTCTCATCTCAGCCTGCTTGACCGCAGCCAAGGAAAATCACTTGAGTGCTTTATTTTGAAGAGTCCTTCACTGAAGTGAGTCATGGCCCTGGGCACTCGAGCAGGAGGTGTGCTCGGGGAGCGGCAGCTGTGCCAGCCGAGTGAAAAGAACTTTTCCTGTGAGCTGCGGTGGCTGACTTGTCCTGGGAGAACCATCAGAAGATGAAATTGCTCTGCTTATGTTAGTGAATGTAGGGCGGGACAGCGTGCGGGGGCTCTGGGGAATAGTTCTGGTGTCAATTCCTTCACGCTTAGAAAAATGTACTCAGACATTGCTCTTACTGGCTCTCCTCTAGGGAGAGACTGACCTATATTAGGAAAAAAAGATAGAAAACAGCAGCAACAATGAACTTTGGGGCAGTCTTTGTGAGTTCAGCTAAATTTGCAGTCTGGGGGTGCTGTCCAGGTGCTCTTTGCCCTGGGCCAAAAAAAAAAAAAGGTGGTTGCTTTAAAGGATAAAATCCTTCCCCTTCCTGAAGTGAAATAGCTTTTCCAGAGTGCTGAGTTGCTTGCTGGTAGAATGGCAAGCAGGCTTTGGATTACAGTTCTCTTTGGATGTTTCCTGCTCGCTTAAGAATAATGAAGGGTGAGACATCCTGGAAGGGAACTCCTGTAGGGAGTCCTGAGTACTTAGGTCAGAAAATAACGAGAGACCCAAACCCACATTGTAAACAATTCTGGTAGAAGCAAATGGATGTTAAAGCACACAAAGCTCACATCCTTTTTAACTTTGAAAGTTAGAAGGAAACAATATTTTTAAATAATAGGAAAAATGGGGAAGGGATTACATTTTTGTCATGAAAAATGAGCTGTAACTTGCTTTGTTCTCTGGTTATCAGGCTCCCAGGAATTTTGTCTGTAACGTGGGCTTGCTCCCACCCTGCTTGCTCACAAAGGTTGCCGTCTCCATTCGAATTAGCATGCACATGAGGGGGTTTGGGTGATCTCTGGCAAAGCTGCGAACTCACGCTGGATTCTGTGGATGTTGCAGGTTGGTCTGGTTTACATGTTCAACCTCATCGTCGGGACAGGAGCTCTAACCATGCCCAAGGCGTTTGCGACAGCGGGGTGGCTGGTCAGCCTCGTTCTCCTCATGTTCCTGGGCTTTATGAGGTAGGATATGGGTTTGTGTCCTCAGGAGAGGGGGGGTGCTCTGTTCAGGAGCCCTGAGATCAGTGCTGAGGCTTGGGCTGCTGCCTGAGACCTTGGGGCAGGTCTCATGACTTCAGAGCTGGTTTGCCACGAGTTTTTGCTCAGCTGCCTGTGCCCCTGCTGGAGCAGCAGGTGGAGCTGAAGGCTGCCGATAGAGCAGCGATGTCCAGGCAGCCTGAGATTCTCCAGTTGCTGACAGAACTGTCATCTTCCCGACAAGCCATGTATCCCTGCTCGTTTCTTGCCTGGTTTGCAAATAAATAAGAATAAAACTCCCCTCCTGCTGTTGGTAAGAACAGAATTGAGACGTTTTTTTGTGGATAACTAGTTCTGAACGTGCCTTTGATGTGAAGGCAGTGCTTTTCAGACCTGTTAGCTGCTGCTGAACAGGGGTAGCCATGCTCAGTACTGACTGTAGTGATACTTCTAAATTCCCCACCTTGAAGCCGTGTGCTTCAGAGGCTTGATTGAATTATCAGTTGTGGCAGCACCAGTATCGGAGCTTTGTGAGCACTCATAGATATGTTTCAAAACACAAATGTGGCACGTGAGATGCTACCAGCAGGGAGTCTGCCAAGGTCAGCAGAGGAGCACAAGTTTCCAAACCTGGGTGCCACAACCAGACCCAACTGAAAACAGAGCCTGAAGTATTCAGTGCCCCAGGAGCTGCGTTGCTTTTGTCCCAGCCCTGGTGCTTGGCTTCCTCCTGCCCTCTGGGCAGTGACCCTTCAGTAAGAATCCGTGCAGGAATTGCTACGTGGGCCTCAGAACAGGGCTGCTTGCTTTTATTCTAGCAAAATTAATCTCTTGCTTGATCTTGATAAATGAGCCCAATTCCTGAAACAGGGAAGCCACTCTAATGCCTTAACTAAGATTGATTTGAAGGTTTTTTTTTAATTACAGGGCTGTTTAGCTGAGATAACGATGTGCTTTCCATAGGAGCATCAGTGACTACCTGTCCCCTGGCCAGCTTTTCCCATGGCCTCCAGCAAAGCGTGTTTGCATATAGATGTGATCTGCCCCTCTGCCTTGTTCTGCTTTGTTTCTAATGCCATTTGTAAGAGTCTTTAGGGCAGCAGAGTACCTTTGCCACAGGCTGTAATGGACAAACTTCAAACAGGACTGTGCTACTCCAGGCTTCCTTCTTCCTTTCAGGGCCCAGCTTTCTAACAAGGGGGAAACTCCTCTTGTCTTCCCAAACCCTCCAAACTACTAGCAAGGTGTTTTCCAGCTACCTAATGTCTCCTCATCCCTGAAGGCATGCGTATTTTTACTGCATTTTGTTCTCTGCTTGAACACCTCCATCTCAGGAGCAGAAGAAGGCAGCAGTGTGCTGAGCAGAAACTATGAAATAGGCGGGGGGGAGGGTGCAAAGGTGGTGAAAGCAGTTCTGTTTGGTTGGTGTTTGCCCCTACAAATAGTAAGGATAATTCTCCATGTATCTTAAGCAACAATGCTTGACTGCTGTTGATATTAACTGGATTTTTCTCCCCAGCTATATGACTACCACGTTCGTGGTGGAGGCCATGGCTGCTGCAAATGCCCAGCTGCGATGGAAGAGAATGGAAAAACGCAAGGTTGGTGTGGGGTGTCATTTTCCATTTTCTGCTGTTTTTATCACACGAGGCTCACCTGAGATTTCTGTCTTTGCCTTGCCTCATTAATAACTAATAAAGGAATAGATTTCTACTCTACGGAACTTGGCCACGTAAAATATGACTTTTAGTTCCCTGTGGGGTTGCTCGTTAAAGACTGGATTTTTTGCTTCAGCTTTGAAAAATCTCTTGTGCTGCTTACATTTTTTTTACTGGATGTGCTCTCCTTGCCCTGAAGCGTTGCTCAGCGAGTGTGGAGAGGTGGCAGGCAATAGATCGGTGCCATTTGGAGTGTGCCAGGTTCTATAAATCCTCGCGGATCTCAGGTCACTTAACTGGGACAGGCAGGAATGTCCTTGCTGCTGGTCAGGATGTGTCCCGGGGAGTGGACAGTCCTGAAGTATGTCCTTGCTGGAAAATTTGCTTGTGGCTTTTTTGGATCCTGGCTTCAGTGGCTTTTCTGGATCAGTGTGAGGTATGGTTGTTTGCACTGATTTAGATCCCTGCCTGTATGTTATTGGGCTGGAGTTACGAGATCCCATAGCCAGACAGAAAAGAAATGGCCAATAAAAACACTAAGATTTCTTTTCCCAGTTCTGTAACCCTGTAGATCTACCAGGCACTTGAGCCACAATTTTCTTGTGCCAGGTATCCCTGTGTGAATCGGACACTTGCTGTATGACCTGCTAAGAGCAGAGCCTGGCACTCACCTCAGTTTGCTCTGCTGGTGCCCTTTTCTGCTCTACAGTGTCTCAAGCTTGGGCCAAGGGCTCCCAGTATCGCCCCTGCTTGGTAGCCTGTCCTGCCCAGCCCTGCATGGGATCTACCTCTGAGGTGCTGGAAGTGAGACCGTGGTGCTGTAGGTAGTGGAAATCTGAGCAGTGGTCTGGCCTTTTCTTCCAGGAGGATGATGAGGATGAGGATTCTTCCTCTGGAGTATCTGACAGTGACGTTCTCCTCCAAGACGGCTATGAGCGAGCAGAGACACGACCTATCCTGTCAGTTCGTAAGTATCTCAGCTTTCCCTGAGACTTTTTCTCTGCAGGCAGCATTCCTGTGAGCCCCAGTAAGCAGAGCAGGACTCTGCTGTCCATTTTGCCCTTAATTTCACATTTGCATCCCGAAGACCTTAGCACTTGTGAGATAAGGCTCATTGAGAATTCAGTTTACCTTCTGCAGGCTGATAAACATCTCTTCCCTCTAGGTCACTAAGATGAGAATACCTTATTTTGAAAACACTTTAAACTAACTTCAGCAGCGTGATTGGACCCATGACGCTGCAGCTGTGGAGTGGTAGATAGTACATAGTGTCCTTCAGGCTGCTGCTGGAGTTTCGTGGGTGTTTTCAGATAGTCTGGCCTCTTGGTTTACTTGAGGAACTGGTTGAAACCTCCTTGTTTTCAATTTGCAGAGAGACGTGGCTCACCCAATATCTTTGAAATCACTGAAAGGGTGGAAATGGGCCAGATGGCTTCCATGTTCTTCAATAAAGGTAAGTGATTCATGCGTTTAAAGTCCTCACAGTCCTGCTGCGTACTGTGTGTGTGTCTGTCGGTAAGTCTGAGTGCTTCTCAGTGTGGGTTTGTGTCCTGAGTTTGTGATGGTTCCATCCAAGTATCCATCCCTCTGTGCAGTGTTCCTCCAAAGCAGAATATTTGTGGGCCAGAACCTGCATGAAGGGGGGGGTGCTGTGGTGGTGTGGCCAAAAATACCAGCTGTGGGTATTGGCTGACACAGGTAAGCTTAAGTCAGTGCCTCTTCTGACTGGTTTTAACCTAACCCTGTACTGAGTCTGTCCTCTGACCTCTGCTCTTTGCAGTGTTGGAGCCCAGCTGTGGAGTTTACTGGTTCCACCTTGGCAGCATTTGAGAATAAAACTTTTTTTTTTTTTTTTCCTGAACCCTGTAAGTGTCAGTCTGAAGGGGAGAGGCTTTGGGGAGAGTTCCTGAGAGCTGTATGTGTCGGGGTGGGGGTCAGCTGCTAGGACATGGAACTACTGAATAAAAAAGGGTCCCTGGTGAGCATCTGGTAGGCAGATGTTTTATCTTTTTGCTGTTAAGTGTCTTTTGTTGTATGTCAGGGAACGAGCCTGTAGCTATACTGCAATAAAGCCATGGCTGCATACAATAGAAACCCAAGTTCTGATGTTAGGCGTTCTGAAGCTGGGTGAGGAGTACATTTGAAATGCTGAGCAGAGCCAGAAAATCATCAGACACCATGGTTGTGCAATTTTGAGCCTGTCAGGCCCCATTTCTTGTGGACAGCGACGTTTTCTCTTGTTCGCTAGCCACCTTAGGAAGATGTGATGGGCTGTTTTTTTCCACTACATTACATCAGCTTTATGCCATTCTGAGACTGCCTCTGAAGGACAGCTGGGCTTAAAGAGTGAAGATTGTTTCAACTGTGTTATTGCTGATTTTAAAGTCCAGTTGAAAAAAAAAAAAAGCTTGATTTCCCTATATGCCCCATGTGGGTCTTTGTAGACGTCAAACATTCAGGGGTGTCTAAATCCACATTGAATCAGGCGGCCACTTTTCGGAGTCGAGAGGAGAGGTGACTTGGCTGTGTGCTGGAGACCCAGAAACATCTCGTTCCTCCTCTCGTCTGTTGCTTTGAGATGCTCTGACTTTAGGCAAGCTTTTTGTCTGTGTTCTTTGCCGTCTGTAACACTCTGTGGATGCTTCCTTAGCTCTCAGTATTCCTCTGAGGAGTAATATTGGGATGTTGCTTTGATAGCAAGCCCTGGACACCATGGCTTAGCAGTATCATTGAGGATTTAGGCAGGGAGTCCTGCTCTGCTGCATGTGGACTGGGGGAACGTGCAGACAAGCCTCAGAAGGGCTCTTTTTTCATGTACTTCCCAGGAAGGTGGTGATAACCCCTCAGGTGTTGAGCAGTTGCCTTCTAGAAGGCTTCTCTGCCTCGGTGCCAGCTGCTGCTCAGCCAGTAGAGGGTGCTGGAAATGCAGCTCCTCTGGTGCTGGTGGGAGGTTTCCCCGCGAGGTGATATTAACTGCTTAGCATTCTGAATCTTAATCCCCCTTCTTAATGTTGTTTTAGCCAGAGTTATCTGATTTCTGTGTCAGGGATCCTCCCCCGGGCTGACTCAAGCCAGTGCCAAGGGATAAATCAGCGGGGAGTCAGCGGGAACAGCTGCAGGCTGGAAACAACTGCCGAGGGATGAGCCCAAAGGTACGCGGAGCAAAGGGGCTGGGGCAGCTGTAGCCCACCTGCTGCTCTCCCCTGCTCTGTACTCAGCAGCAAGGAGCTGGTGCTGAGTCCTCGTTCAGACACGCTCAGGTCTGCCGAGCGTTTGCAGAGAGCAGGCGAGGTGCCTCCTGCAGATCCCGGCTGAAGTTCTGGTGCTGACAGATGCACAGAGAGGCCGTGGCTGAGGGCAGTTGCTCAGTGACCCCTTCCTGCAGCCTGGTGCTGAGAAACTGGGTCATGCTAGGGAAGTCCTGGCTCCAAGCACCACCCTCTGCTGTTTCACAGCTAGCAAGTGTCTGGGTGGGTTTTGCTCACTCTATAGGAAGCGTGGATCCAAAACCAAGGTGTCTGAGCTCTTTACAGCCTTCAGAGGGAAGGCTGGTGAAGGCTTTGTAACAGACCTTAAAGCCTCCGAGACCTAGGGAGTTCTCTGCTCTTTTCTCTTAACTTTTTTTTACTTAAACAATCTGACAGGAGTTGAGTCTGCAGTCCTGGGAGGTAAGGCGAGGATAAATCTCCATCTCAGACCGTCTGCTTTCTTCAAGGGAGGTGGCTTAGGCTTAGGCTGTGGTAGGCCTGTATGCTCTGTCAAAAAAGCTGGCTCTGAAGAGCTGCTTTTTTTTTAATTTGCAATGTTGGGTGCTTTCTTTTGGGACCGAGCAGTCATTTGTTGCAGTAATGGAGTCTGGGCACATCTGTCATGCTGTCCCCCCACAGGAAGCCATTGATTTTCCCATTTTTGTCCAGTAATGAAAATATTGATCAGGGAGGATCAGTAGCAGCTTGTAAAAGAACTGGCAGCAGTAGGTTCTGGTTTGGGGATCTACATCTAAGTCTGTCGAATGCTTAGTGGATTTTGCAGCTTCTGTCCTACATCAGATATTTGTTATAATACTCAACCCATTTTAACAGGGAATTGGAGAAAACTGGTAGGGAGTTTGCTGTTGTCTTCAGGATGATGCAGACTCCTTAGCTGTGTGGTCATCTTAAATCTTTCACAGAGGGGGGGAAAAATAAGGGACCTATAAGAAATTTTCAGGCTGTTTCTGGAGGGGCTGACGTTCTCCATTTATTTATTCAAACAAACCAGGAACAACCCTCGTGTATTGGCTTAGAGCTTTATAGGAGCAGGGAAGTCTCCGTGCTGCTTCCCCACACAGCCCTTTTTGTAGAAACGTTTTCTGCTAAGTAGGCTGAGCACATTGAGTAATTTATTTAACACGAGTGGAATGCCTGTTAACGTCTCCTGACATGCAGGGATCCAGGGACAATGTGATGCTGAAACTTGAGTGCAACCAAGTGCTGTGGAAATATTAATCCCTGTTCCTGCAGTAATGACGTTTTTATTTGATAGCTGTCATATGAGTCTCAGAGAGGTGAATTGATTTGCCCAAGCTGCATTAGGATTAAGCATCAAGTGGTATCACAACTGGGAAGTATGGACAGGTTCCCTGAGCAGCTTTCCTTCAGTATTTGCTTCCTAAATGAAACAAATTCGAGGCTTCTTTTTGTAGCTCACCTGTTTCTGAACTGAAATATGTTCCAGTTTGGTTTTTGTTGGTGAGATTTATGCCAGCTCTCTGGGAAGACGAGAATCCCAGGGTCTCATCAATCATCTCTTTATTCCTGCTGGTTTCAGCCCTCTGCAGCAGTGTCTTCCTGAGCCCAAGAAAGGCTGTTTTGTGCACCCAGACTGCTTGAGTAAGACGTTTCTAATCTCATAGCTGAAGGCAGAGCAAACTTAAGAAATAAACAAACCACAGAAGAAAACATTTGGGGACAGGAACAGCATTCATTGTGGCACTAGGGTGTAGTAGGGCTGCAGAAACAGTTTTAAAGCTTTGCAAGTTTGAATCTTGCCTCGGGATGCTGATGTTTAGGAATATCCCAAATGGCTTCACCTCAGCCGTGTGGAACTGGATCTCTGCAGGGCTAAATTCTCACTGCGAAGGTCCTGCAGGTTTGAATAGGCAGGGTACTAACAGCTCTTGTTTCTTCACTGTACTGTTCATCAAGCTGCGTTCACACCAGGTCTGTCACCACCAGCTAGTGTGCCTGTGACTCTTCCAGGTTGTCAGCTTCATCTGATAGTTCAATTACGTGAGAGCTGTGGGCCTGGAGCAGCGTCTGGAGGATGGGTGTAAGCTTTGAGTGCCTGGTGTGAAGGGATTTCAGGAGGCAGAGCTGAGCTCTGAGGCCTCGTGTCCCATCACTTCCCGTGCTGTAACTGTCCCCTAACCTGCTGGTGTGACCCTTCTGTGCAGTTTTCTGCAGAAAATGTAAACTATGGAAAGAAATGGTGTGTGTTTTTTTTTTTTTAAGATGTTGAAAAACATCTTAATTAATGTGAATTTTTGAGTTAGAGTGCAGAGTTCAAGAATCCCTAATACTTCTCTTTCTTGCAGTGGGTGTCAACCTCTTCTACTTCTGCATAATTATCTACCTCTATGGGGACCTGGCAATCTACGCAGCAGCTGTGCCGGTCTCTCTCATGCAAGTGACCTGGTAAGTGTGCTTACTGCTGGGCACTTACGTGCTAACAGGGACGAGGGCAGGTTTGGGGGCTTGATGGGGTGATAAGTCTGACTGGGTTCAGCTCTCCTTCCTGAAGACAAGCGGAGAAATGACTCAAGGACATCTCAGTGCTTGTGCGTGGGAAGGTGAAGTTGTTCTGTATTCCCCACCCAAGTGCCTGCTGCAGGCTAAGCTGTTGTTGGATGCCTGAAAAGTGCCTGACCTGATTTCAGGTAAGTCCCTGGGTGTAAAGTACTTCAGCTTCACCTTGCAGGCATGGGGCTCGTTGCTCACTGGTTTGAATGCCATCCCCTGTGCAGTATCTTAGCTTCTATCTCTAGATAAGAGCTGGGAGGTGTGGTGCTTATCAAGCTTGTGACCTGCGAGTGGTGACACTACTTTGTGTTTACCTGATGAGCTCTGGGCTTGAGACAAGTTCCTTCCTAAAGAAATAGTTAGTGAAAGACTGGTTTGCTTGGGGCTGGGCTGGGCTGCACTCATGCTCAAAGCTTCAGGATGGAAAACTGCGGTGTTCCATCTATGACTCTAAACTTGCTGGTCTAATGACCAGATTGTAACCGGGTAATCAAATAATTTGTCTTCAAATGCATGGTCTTCAGTCAGCCTCTGACCATTGCTCTTCCTTGAACACAGGAGAGGGGAAGACATCTGCTGGGAGCTGATCACTCTCTTCTTTCTCCCTCCTTCTTTCCTAGCAGTGCTATTGGCAACCATTCTTGCAGCGTGGGAGATGGCACGAAGTACAACGATACAGACAAGTGCTGGGGGCCCATTCGAAGGATTGATGCTTACAGACTGTATCTGGTGAGTTTCTCAAACTGGAATGACCTTTATTTTACTTGCCCTGCCTTCTGGTGAGTGGGAGTTTTTCCCTATAGAGGAAACACGGTGTAAGTGAACAACAGGGATGTGAAGCTTTCAATTCAGGCTGACCTTGTTAGCCAAATGCCTGTTTTCCAGCACTGGTGACATGTCTTTGTTTCAGTTTGGTGGCCATCAGAATAATCCTGATCTCAAGTTTAAGCAGATATGTCCTTGTTGCGTAGTTCTATTTTACTTAAGCAGGTGATGGGTCCATGACAGGTTTTCTCTAGTGTTTGGCTGAAGTAATTGTCACTTGGAGATAATTGTTCTCAATACACTCAAGCATATTAAGCTCTCTTGAGTGCGTTCTTTATATGAATAAAATTGTTTATGCTACAGTAGAATCTGCTTTTTTGAAAGATGATGGAAACAGACCGCTTAACATCAGCGCTGTACGCTGCTTTAGTAATAGCTTGCTGTCTACTTTGTGACTGTCTATTGCATCTATTAGTGTGCTTTGGTTCTGCTGTGAAACCAAGGTTTCCTCATGGGATGATAAACACTGCTGCTCCTGAGCTTGGTGAGAGTCGAGCACTTGTACCTGGAGGTAATTGTTAGCAGGGCAAAACGAGGAGGTATGTAAGTACTGCATCGTGGGGATTTGGGGCAGTGACGGTAAAGATCTCGGTGAGTTTTAAGAAAAAAAAGTGATGAGGCTCTGGAGGTGCCCATGTGTGAGTGGAGAAACCCATGAGTAAAACCTGCTTGAAGTCATTTTGTGGTTGGTACATCCTGGATGTGCAGGAGATCACATCTGAGTGCATTTGTTCCATTACTGCAAAAGAAAGAGCTGGGCCTCAGGAATATTAGTGAATGTCAAAGCCTAGTTAATTATTTAGGAGAAATATTATTGCTTTATTAAATTGTCTTGGTCTGTTTCTTTAAAATTTCCACAAGATTGAGGACTTCTTCCCTGAATTTCAATAACTCTGCCTTACCCAGCAGAAGGAGCTAGTCAGAACAGCAGACATGCATTAATTACTGCCTGTGTCTCTCGGATATTGTGTCTATAATTCATGAAGATAATTGTTAGGACTTGAGGGGAAGAAAAAAAAAAACACAAAACTGTAAGCATTAGACTTGCTGTCTGTGTATACAACCCTCAGAGGTGCTTTTTCCTTCTGCTTGTCTCTCGTGGATCTGGAGAATAAATATCTGCGAAGTCTTTGGTAGTGGTTAATCCTGCCCTGCCTGGTAATTGAGAGGAGGGTTTCAGTGCTTTCCTGTGCTCCTCCCTACAAGCAGGGAGGGATTGCTTGTGGGAAGACACGTGTCTGTGGTGGATTACTGGGGGAAGGAAGCGTCCCACAGTCGTGTTCAGGAGACTCCTGAGTGTCAGCATTCCCTCTGAGTTGTGGCTTTGAGGCCTCTGATGTTCCATTAATACAGAAGCAAATTGGGGCTTGTCCAACATCCAGCCCTGGTCCTACTCCCTGCTTGATCTGTGCGCCTTTTTCTCTAGAAAACAAAAATTGTGATGGTTTCCCTAGGGAGGGAGAGGAGATGTAATCGTTCACGAGACATTAAGACCCACAGCACTGGCACTGCCTTTGGACTGCCTCCGAAGGGATTAGGCCAGTTAATACTTTTCTCCTCCTGTCCTATTTGTAATGTGGAAAACTAATGACCAGTCGTTACAAATCATAAATTCTTGAAGAGAAGCGTGGGGATAGGATGGGTAGGAAGCATCTTGATTTTTGAGCGAAAAATTAATAGCAAAACAGCTTTTATGTTGTCCACCAAATTGTTACAAATGTTTTGCTATAGCTATCATAGGAAACGTAAGCTTCTCTTGAAGTTGCAGTTGAGATATTTTAGGAGTGAAGAGACTTTGTAATTTGCTAGGTTGTTGTGGCTTAAGCACTTGATAAGCACCGAAGCTTTCTGCTGTAGGAAGATTCACCCCCCTTTAGGAGGCTTGCATAAATGAGAGGACTTGATGCAGTCAGACGTAAATGTCAGCCTCCGCTTCCAGAAAAGCACGGTGCAGGGCATGGGGTGCTGTGTCTGTACCAGATTATTTCTAATTTGCTCATCTTTCCCTGGACCAGGGTCATCAAGCTTCTGGTTATTGAACACGATGCTGCCAGAATTACGGAGCATTTATTTGAAGCTTAATCTGAGTGGTGTAACACAACCCAGGTACGAGGAGCATTTGCTGCTCCGTTGCCCTGGCAGGGGTCTGGCAGGTATTTCTTGGTATTTCTTGGTATTTCCTGGACATATCACCAAGGCTCTGGAGCACTCTCAGCATTGGGAAGTGTAGCTCTATGAATTTTGTCTTAGCTTCTTGTGTATGTGGGGTCATGGACACGCAGGAAAAGCTAGAATGTGTCTGGCTGAAAGGGAAAAGACCTCAGAAGATTGAGGAGGGGTGAGATGCATTTTACCCTTTAGAAGGGTTGCTCTGTTTTCTTGTTTTTCTTCTCAAATTTTCTTCTGTTTAAATTCTTTCCTGTTGGAATAATTCTGGTTCCACGTGTCAGTGGACAAGCAAGGTCTCATTCTGCCGGAGAAGTTCCCCTGTGGCAAGGGGACAGATGGACACTGCGATCCCAAAAGAAAGCAGCTGAGGTTTCGGGTCAGTCCTTGTGTCCTAGATGTCTGCCTCTAGTCCTCTCACCTTGTCTTGGGATGTTATTTAGGTTTTGAGTGGTTTTTAGGAGCACGATGGAGGAACGTAAGCAGAATCTCGTCCCTGTTCCCCATGAAGCAGGTCACTGGATGTAGTTGTAGCTCTTCCTCTGTGCGTGGCCCCACAGAAGGCCTTTTTTGGACTAGCAGGGTGAGCACAGTCTATTTGAGGTTTTTGGAGAAAACGATGCCAATGGGAGCTCTCCTGTGCCAAGTGCCACCAGTCTGCCAAGGGCTGGTCCTGCCCTCATCCTGTTGACTCTTTCTCTCCCGGTGCTGTCGTCTTTTCAGCAAAAAACATGGACCCTTCAGCTAGGGGCAAGAGGAAGAATGACTGATGTATAAATCCTATTTCATGGTTTGTTGTCCCAAAAAGCCTCTGGAAGCTGTCTCGGCTCTGATCACCGTTAATAGGAGCTGAAGACTATGAACATAATGAGAATATTTAGACAGATTAAATCCTCCTCTTGAGACCTGCTCATCTGCGCGGCGTCTTTATTGCTGCTCCAGATTTCCTCAGCTCCGTGTGACTGCGGAGTCCTGGGGGACTGCTGGGCCCCTCTTAACCTGTGTCTGAACAAATGGCCATCTCGCCTCTGGTTTGTAAATTGCCTTGGAAAATAAGGGCTTGCAAAGTAAACAAGTGCAGGAGATACCGAGCTGAGTGTTTGCTCGTGTCCCATCTCTTGCTGCTCATGTTTGCCTTCTCGTTTTGGGCAGCAGCAGCCTGGGAGGCTTTGCAAGGCAGAGCCCTCACGGGGTGAATCGGCCGGGAGAAGGGTTTGTGTCAGCCGGCCCAGCGACCTTGGTGAAGGCGAGCACTGATCACAGCTCAGGCAGATCGATGGCTTTGTGTCTCTGCACATCAGTCACGGCGCTGTCACGGCCTCGACAGCCAGAGTGAGTCCCGAGTCCCCTGGCCGTTCTGGTGGCGGTGCTGAGGACAGGGTTTGGGATTTTGGGCGTGCTGCCTTCACACCTGAAAGCTTTGTCACGGTCCCTGTGAGCTGAGCTGGATGTCCCGTGTAGGCCGAGGGAAGGGGCGGTGGGTTTAGGCCTCAGATCTCCCTTCAGGACACTGCCCGGTCCTCCTGCTCCCGTGTCACACCGAGGCAGAACCCTGACACCACAGGCCCTGTTTCTAGAAAGCAGACACGGAGATAAATAAGCCATTAAATCCTGGGGACCGGCGGCCGTGCGGTGTCTGATCCAAAACGCATCCAAGCCTGGCAAGTGTGGGGCTCCTCTGCTGCACCAGGGCAGCCGCGGAAGCCAAACCCTCCTCTCCTCCCAGCCCTGCTTTGCTGGCAGCTCGGGGCACGGCATCTTCCCTGAGCGGAAAGGAGATGGCTTTAATTCTCGGGGGAAGCTGTACGCCTTTCAGGGGGGAGAGGCACGGCTTCGGCAGCGTGTCGGAGCCCCCGGGTGCATCTGCTGGGGCAGGAAGGGCCGCGGCATCGGCACGGCCGGGCTCGCAGATGCTGCAGTGTCGCAGGCGGCCCAGCGGGTGCAGGCCGAGTGAGGAGGGGAGCGCAGATGGTTTAATGGAGATTATCCCAGTTGGAAACGTGCTTGTGCAGTGAATAAAACGAGCGGGCTCGCGGGCGCTTACCGGCCCTCTTCGGAGCGGGGGGGACGATGTCAGCCCAGCCTGACACTCTGATCAGAGCGGGGCCGGGCTGCGGGAGGCAGGCAGGGGGGACGAGGGGTAGCCTGAGGACACGGGCAATTGCTCGGTGCCAGCAGAACTGAATCGGCAAAGGGGAAGGCTGAACTGCTAAGTGTGGCTGGAGGGCCGTCTCCGTCTGCCTCGGCGTGGTGCTGCCTTCCTGGGCCCCCTCCGGCTGCAGCTCCTTGCTCTGTGCCTCCGGTGTGTGTGCTCTGCTGCACCCAGTGCTAGCTCCCCTGCACTGTGCAAAGGGACCCCTGATTTTTATTGTCTAAACAGTTATTTCTTTATAAAACCTCCCTAGTGCACATGAGGCTCATAGCTTCTCTTTCCACGTCGCCTTTTGGCCTCTGCTCTTTTTTCTCTTTAATTTTTACCTCCCAGCAGTTAGGAGAGGACCCCTCATGGCGATCCTTGAACATCCCTGCTTGATCTAAGCTCCCTCTGGCCAGTTGGGAGCTGGAGAAACAGAGCTGGAAGTGTGCTGCAAGTGGAGTACTTCTTCAAGGACACCTGGGCTCGATCCACATGTTCCCTCTGCAGCAAGTGCTTTTCCTGTCCTGCCTTCCTCATCTGTGCCCTGCAGCAGCATCCGGCAATAAATGGGTCACAGCTGCTCTCTCCTGGATATTTATTC